TTAAGCACCTAGACAACAAATTTCTAAACCTCAGACATCACTTTCAGCCCTTTCTTGTTCTTTTTTAATTTATTAATTTATTATTTAATTTCTTAAATTATCACAATTGGCTTGCCTTTTATGCAGGTACTTACACATTATAATGAAACATGAGTTAGCACATTAAATCAAAAGTCTGCAATCAGTATTTCCTGTTTTCAATGAAATCAGGAATCCCAGTGGAGGGTGGACACCCTTATCGACCATCTTGATGGCGCCTCTTGGGTCCCTAACACAATATATATGATTGTGCGTACGAGTATATATATATCAACGAATATAACGAAACCCTCCACGGGCAATTTCAATGCCATTTGTGATTCGAGTTCTTTTTTGGGTTTCCAACATCAATCCCACTTGTCAGTCAGTCAGTCAGTCAGTCGGTGAGCAAAACCACGTCCGAAATTCTGGCAGAAATTTGTCGCAACCGCAAAATGATTTTTGTCTCAATTTCTTGCTGTTCATTTTGTAGCTTTTCCCTTTTATTTTTTGACTCTCTTTTTTATATCATATATTTGCATGTATGTAAATTTACTTTTCCAACTCTTTTATGTAGATGAGCATTTATTATTTTGGCTGCAAGTGTGAGTGTGTGGCCAAAAAGGGTCTGCACATGACGGAATACCTCCCTCAATGTTTTCCAAATAAGATGATGAGCTTGGAATGATGGGGAGTCTGATGTGTAATGTTCCTTGAACTGAGCAAAATTGACTTTGGTAATTGAACATGTCAAGTTAAATTAGGTTTAGGATGAGGAATGTGGCAGCAATTTTAATGGGTATTCAGTGAAAAAACCCCTTTGAGACTTAAAATGTAAGATGAAATTAATTAAAAGTGTAAACTACACTTATAAAATTTGTGTTCTATATTTAAATAAGTACAATTTTTAGCGGTAATTTTTATATAATTCTGATATGTGAACGTTTCTTTCTGATTCGCTAAGATAAGTTTCTCTCTCAATTTAAGGGAGAATTGCCCTTGTTTTGCTAATAAATGTTTCATAATAACCATCGCAATTCGCCCTAATAATCTTACGTTACTCTTAATTAAAGAAATTCATTAAAAAAAAGGAAAATATATTATATATAAATATATAATTTTCTTAGAAATTGATCAAATCACTTCAAAGAGTACTCACCTTACTCACCTTTGAGATAATATCTTTAGTCATGAAAATATAATTCTGTAATTTTAAATTCCATTTATACAAACCTGCATTCCCATTGCATTGACACAGGTGCAGAAACAAAAGTCGTGCCAGTAAATAAATAATATTTTCTATATAAGCTTGAGCACTGGGACTGCATAATTCCAATAAATATTAAATGCCTTTGTTATTGGAATGATTTCCCTTTTTTTTTGAGCCCATTAAACTAGATAACATCTCACCTGTTGGCTACCTCCTGGCATCTGCTTCTGCATTCAACCGTTTTGCATAACTGAATAAAATCGAGAGAATTAATATGAAAAACTATTAAAAACTATTTTTGCTGCAACATGTTCGCGGCAGTAAAAATTATTCACGGATGCAGGAAACCGATCCAAATGAACTTTTCTTTTATTTGACTATTTTTTTTTTTGCTCGTAAACAGTCATTATTCAAGTTAGCATCGACGAAATTTCCATGTACTTGTGCATCTGCTGGTAATTATAAGTATTTTACGATATTATTTGCCTTAAATTGGTCTGGCTGCCAGATGCACTGGCTCAGTTATGGGCCAAGTTAAATACAGTCGTCCACTTTGGCGCTTCGGATAATCGCCTTGAACCAGTTCGAGTGGCCTCCCACCGGTTTGTATTCTGCAGCAGTGGCTGTTGTTGTTGTTGTTGTAGCAGTCACTGATGCATTTTTCACAAATCAATTGAGTTTGATTTGTTTATAAATAATTTCGCCCTGTAATTGTGATGGCATTTTCCATATTCCATTGTGGCGCATGTTATTGATTTGCTGCAGAGAGTGTAACCTCAAAACGAACGGGGCAAAGTTCAGGAACCTGGGGTAACAAACAAAATAGAGTTGAAAATAATGGGCGGCAGAGTGACAAGCAGGAACAACAAAATTCTTTGGTGTTCTTTTTGCTAAAAAGTTTCAGAATAAAATCGATCAAAACCACTAGAAGTTTAGGGTTTATTTTTTGGGTACAGCCATTACAAGAGCAACTTGATTCAGTGAAGGTACAGTTCTATGTAAAGTTACAAAGTCTAGTGTTACCATATTTTAAAGGGTACAGTCAATACAGTTCCACTTTTCTTCTCTAAAGTACCATCATAAATGCTAAATTTTTAGGTTGCATTATAAACTAAAATTGAAAATTATTGAATAATCTTATAATAAGACTTGAATGGATACAAAAAGTATATCAAGGTTTCGCTCCCTCAGTCAATGCAAATCTTTCTTTTCCAGGTACAGTGCCTTGTATTATAAAGATAAATATAAATTATTCTGACGTTTTTCAATATTTTCTTTTGCTACATTTAGCGTGGACAGATACCATACATTTTCTTGGTATCTGGCCAAAATATACATCATGCATTATATATATTATATGTACGTATTTGGTATGCTCAATTGGTTATTTTTCGCCAATCTATATAGTATAGGTCTTTTCGAAAATCGTTTGACCTTTGAAATATAAATTGTTTCCGCCAGCTAAACTTGAACTGAACCCCCCGGCCATGAAAGACCGAAAATCCTTGCCACAAATATTTACGTTTGGATCGGGAATTAGTCGCCCGCCCGCACTGGCCAAAATTAACACAAAAATTTATGGTTGAGCAGAATCGAAGGGTGCAAGGGGCGTCAATCCGATTCACGTCTATAGCCCCAGGGGCGTAGGCGAAAGGGGGGACTCTGTAGACCTGAAGCATAAAGTAAACTCAAATTAAATATTAACACATTTTGCGGGGTGTCTGGTGGCCGGCGATGTGCGAAGAAATCAATTAAATCGTGGCGCAATTCATTCATGCTCAAGGACTTCTGGCCATGGACTCTCGGGTCAGAGTTGTGGCAATATCTGAGGAGACAGAGAAAGAGATTCTCCCACACAGTGGGGCTAAACAAAAAAAAAAAACTTTTGAATTGATAATGCAAAAAGTTGTATGCACTTTTATTATTTATTAAACTTCAAGGAAGTTGCAACTTCAAGGAAGTTGCAGTCAAAGAGTAGCCTTGCAACAGAAACTTGAGACGGGCTTCCTCTAGGCGTCATAAAGTTTTTTATTCACTTTTTATTTCTTGTTGCTTAAAAGGAAAGCAGAATGGAAGCATTATATTTATAATTTTCACTTAAAAATATTTAAAAAACGTTAACTAAAACCCTAAAAACCCTTTAAGTTTGAACAGTTTAATCTTGTTAATTTCCACAACCTTTATCGAGCTTATTTTCCACAATCTCCACTGTTCTTTGGTTAAGCAATTAATTATATCAAGCGATTTTGCACTAATGCCACTCTGTATTCAGGCAGATTTTGTGGGGAATTGTGTTAACGATTCAATTTAAGCTGGTTTTAGTTGGTTAACTGTGAACAGCCGTTAATCGAAGTCAGTGAACTTGAAACTTTTGTGGTCGCTAATCTAATCACCACTTGTCGCCCCCAAAAATGGGTTTAGTAGTGGTAAAATCTAGGAAAATCCCAGGAAATTCAAAGCCCTACAGCAAGATCAACAAAAGTAAATTGGTCATCAATTTTATATAACGACAAATAACAAGATTCAATTACGCGAAGGGAACTCGAGTTGGAAAATTACATAGGAATCGGTTCGGTACATTGCCCTCCAATTTATCAGTTTCCCAAATGAGATGTGTGACACTTGCGGGGGCCAATTGCTTTATATTCCGCTTATTTAAACACTCGATAGATAAGCCTTGCTGCTGCTTCTACTAATTTAATTTCGCCAATAACTTGGAATCAGTTCTTATCGCGAGCGCTGAGGACCAACTGATGGCAGAAACTCGACATTCGTTTATTCTGGTTTATTGCCATGTTTACGATTGGTATCAACTCGCTAATTTCGCATGGCGCTAAGTGCACTGGATCCAACCAGTTCGAAAAATCAATATTGTCTATCGAAATGCTTGATATAAATTTATATAGTCTATAGATCTTAAAGCAAACCAAATGGCCAAGTGGGTAAATAATGGCAATTTAACTTGACTTATTGCAAATAGATTGCGAATTAACATTGGAAATAAACGGGAGCTTTTTCAACTTTGTTAGAGATTCAGGAATTATTAAAACTTAAGTCATTTACATTATTTTATTTTTGAATTAAATGTTATAAGAAATAAAAATATCGGCGAATTTGATGTATACATTAATTATCAAAAAATCAAAACATATCGATATTATCGATATAAAATATTTATAACCATATTGATAACACTATACAAATAAAATATAATAATATTTCAAAATATAATATATGATATAAATATATTATTTAATGAATGATCTATTTTCTGAATACTTTACTCACCTGATAAATTAAATCTACACCCACTTAAGTCTGGATTTGTAGAAAATCACGTGCCAAAATCAATTGAAAACTGCGCTTCGATTTTAGCACATTTTATATTTGCACAGTGCCCCCAAAAAGAAAGACCAAAATCAAAGAGATTTATCTAGAAACCGATGCATAATTAAAAAACAAATATAAACGTGTGATTTTTCGTTGAATGGGTCTGGTTTTTGATCCAGAAGTCTTCAAGCTCAGTTAAATTCGTGGGTTTTAACCAGTTTCAATTGGTTATTGCGGCAGGTCGGTCGAGTGAGAGGCGCTGTGTTAAAAAAAAATCAAGTCAAAAATCGAAAATAAACATTATTTTTAAACTCTTTCCTTGCAGAGATACCCAACCAAAGAGCAAACCGGAATAGAAAGGAAGAGAAACTAACCACAATAGAAGGACACTAACTAGCATGCCAGGATCATAGTCAGGGAAGTGAGGAGGAACCCAAGGTACACACAATGAGTAATCAACGCACGGAGCAGGACTACGACAGTGCCACTCCGGCGCTGCAACAGCAGATGAATCTGGCCAGGCGTGCCTGCTGGAGGAACAAAATCCCTCCCAGATATCCCCAGCTAGCTAATCCCGATCCAATTGCGGAACAACCTCCACCGAGCGATGAAACCAAAACACAAAACACAAGAACAAGAACACCAACAACCTGCACATCCAGTCGACTGAGGGGTGGACTTTGGAGCAAAAGGATGCTGCTCCTTGGCTTTGTATTCCTCATCCTTGGACTTACCCAGGGACGGCCCAACACGAGTGCCGTAAACGTGGGTACAGGCAAGGATAGTGCTGCGTCTGCGGCTACGGATGCGGTCACCCAGCTAAATGTAAGTACCCTGAAAGCCATAGCCAAAATCCGAGATCCAAAATTCCAAATCCGGTTGAACAGCCATTAAGTCTGGCATTACCGCACATCCGGTGTTCGTTGTGTGCAACGAGAGCTCTTTACTGGATTGCAATTTACTGAAGGACTTCACTTTCACAGTGGAGCTTTAGATAAAGCGAATATTTTTAGGGGACTATAAAATTTAATGGGAATTTATAAGAGTAGAATCAATCAACTTTTTATGTAGAATTATACATATTCGAGATTTATGTTTTTTGCTTACTTTTACTTCATTTTTTATTGGATTGTCTTTGATGTTTTTTAGGATTTATTTATATCTTTAATATCGTTATTTTTCTTAACTGAATTCATACATTATTCATTAAAGAGAGATTTACTGCCTTTACTTTCCCTTTTTGCTAGTTAAGCTTTCAAGTGTCATAAACTAAACTCTTAATTGAAGCAATTTACTGATAAATCTAATGAAATATCGACTAGTTTATGTGGGAAACATCTCAAGATGTTGTGTGAACTCGAACTTTGTCTAAGGCAATTCAAGATTTTAAGCTACGTTAGGTTCTGTCAGCTTTCTAAATGGATTTAGGTTTAGAAAAAATATTTACACAAATTTGAATTTATTTTTTCAAAGATTAAAAACTTCAATAGGAAAATAAATTTAATTTTAAAATATTACTTTAATAATTTTTCGCATATACTTGATTTTTTTTACATCCAAATTAAAAGCTTTAAATAAAAGCTGAAGTAAAAGTGGCAGGTTTTCACCTTTAACTTATGAGTTGTAAAAGGAAAACCTTTTTGATGGAGTGTCAGTTTCAACCCATGACCAAAGTGATCTAAACAGTAACCTCATGATTTCTTATCGTTATTCTGCTTAAAGATTGATTTACAAAAACCCACTTTCTGTTTAGGGAAAAAAGGTTTCTGTTGCCCCTATAAATAGATATCGATAATGAACTTGTAGACGAAGCCCCATTTATAATTGTGGGAAGCCCCAATTAATTAGCATTTATATACAAATATATTTCAAGGCCTTTAGAAAGTAGTATCAAACTGATTAACCTCAGTGCGCGATTTAATATTCATTGAACCGCTGACATACAACATGCCAAGTGCCTCACACTGACCTAGTTCAACATTTCAAATGGGTTTGTTTCGGAGTTTTATGCTCAGACATTGTGGAAACGCTGACGATTCGGTCGGCAAACAAAATAAAATAAAAGAAAAGCGCTGACACTCCGTGTTCTGTTCGCTTGCTCGCATGCGTCATTAATGGAATTGATTGTAATTTTCGATGGCGTGTGTTACCCACAAATGAAGGAACTTAACCCCGATATTCCCATCGCACCAGTCATGTCTGGGGTCTGGGGTCTGGGATCTGGATTTTATTTTCCGCAGTTTAGCCAGGCCACATGTAAATATTTGATATTTACTTTGTCGGGTATTGGGAAATTTACCAGCACAACGCTAAAGCGCATTTATCAATTATCTTCTTCCCCTCTCTTTTACACTGATGTTTGCCAATTATAAAACCGCTAATGCCTGAATTATTTTACATTTCCTTCCTGCCCGAAAACCAGCTGCCTCAGACAACCGCCTTGGATATGGATTTGATGGAGACCACGCCCCCACTGCGTTTGCCACGTGCCGAACCACTGAAATCTGGTGAGGATGAGAAGGCCAAGGATGAGGATGGCCATGGCAGTGATGGCCACAAGATGACCCGGTATCAACTGTCAAGCGTGGATTTTGGCCGGGTTAAGACGCCATTTATCATTGGTATATGGATACTGTCGGCCAGTATAGCCAAGATTGGTAAGTAAAGTAGTGTTTCTATTTAAATTAATTATTTTTTTACTGAGCTTAAAAGTAATTATTTGCATAATATATTTTTCTTATTTTTATTACTTGTCAAATGTTCAATATTTAATTATATGCAAAAATAATTTAAGTTGTTTTTAGGGCCCATTAAAGTATGAGCACTTAAAGATAAATGATTCATTAATGAGCTGAAATTACTGAAAAGTCTATAACAAAAATATCTCTTAATTATATTTAACCTCAGAAACTAAGCTGAAACCTTAAAAAAGTAAAGTTGCCTAATCAGCGGACAATCAGTGCTTTTTACAGAAAAAATGAGGTTTCCCCTAGCTGCGTCGCGCATCCTTTCCTTTTCCTTTTTCCCTTTGGAGCCAGAGCTGCTTCTGCTCCTGCTTCTGGGCGTGGGTGTCTTTATATTTTCCCTGAGCTCTTGTTGCCAGGCAAAATCAATATGGTTTATGTAATTCCTACGACTGGCGACGCCATCATCGTCATGCAGATTTGCGTCAAGTCGTCGTTGTCGTCGTCGTCGGCGACGTAACGTAACCGTATGTGTCTGTTCCGTGGGTGTGAATGTGAGTCCCGGCCGAAGGACATTGCATAAGACCACGCGTGTGCAACAAGCCGCAGAACTTGGGGCCTTGACCCTGCCCTCCCCCCGAGCAACAATTGGGCCTGCCAAAAGCGGCTTGTGCATTTATCATTTAACTCCAAGCCTCTCGAGACTTTATTACCTTTTCTGATTTTCAGATTTTCTTTTTTTTTTTTTGGTAGGGCCTCGGGGCAAACAGGTTTATCTAGTGGCCCTGCCCGTAACCTTGGCTAGAGAGAGTGAAAATCCATTTTCCGCACACACACCCATCAAGGACGCTGGCGCCAGGTCCCTGTTTTTCCATTACAATTTCTATTTTCAAGTGCGACCGGCCGAAGCGAAATTTTCCGCTGCAATTGAATCAGTGGCCAGCGGGCAGGAGAGCCCAACAGGCCCGAAAATAGCGCTTAAATCATTGCGAATGCCGTTAAAAAAGTGAACTTCAACGAAGGCCGATTGTAAACTGGAGAGGCTTGGCACTTAACGAGGAAATGAAGGGGAGTGTTTACGGCCAGATAAGAATTGCTGGCGAGGGAAATGTTATTTAAGAACCTAAGTTTCAGGGGCGAGATAGTTATGCAAGTTTAATGTGGGTTGAATTTAATTGTCAAGGATAATTGCGGAATAACTGAAAGTCCTTTGAAGAGATATAGGGGAGCTTCAGTTATATAATATTTAACATTATCTACAAATGTATCTAATATATTTAACATTTTATCAAGACCCCTTCCTTTGAATACTTAAATTCCAATATTTCCTATCCCTGATCTTAAATTTCATCCATTAAATTCCTAATAGAAAAATGCAAATTAAGACCTTACCATTTTTTGTGCAAATATTTTCCTCCTTTCTTTATTTTTTCTACCTTATTTACGAAGCATAATTATCCAACGGTTTTTGGCTGCCCTTGAACCCAAAATATTTCCTAAAGAAAAAGGACTAGAAGCCAAATGGCAGAAAACAACAAAGGGAGAAGAGGTCAAAGGGCAAAAAAGGCTACCAAGAAATTGCATGCAAATTCCCCATCATTCCGAAAACGAACGGGAGAATATTTTCGCTTTTATGGCTGCGCATTTCGTAATTAAGGAAAATATTTTCGGGCCTCCCACACACACTTGTAGTTACACCAAATTGCGTTGCAGAATTTCCCTGTTTATCTAGTAATAATTTGTACTTACTATATACAACTTTTTCTGTAATGTTTTGCAGGTTTCCATATGACGCCCAAGCTGCATCTGATATTTCCAGAGTCCTGCCTGCTAATTGTCGTGGGCGTGGTCATTGGCGTGGTGCTGTATTTCTGCACAGATGTTGCCGTGTCTCCGCTGACGCCCAATACCTTCTTTTTCTATATGCTGCCACCGATTATCCTGGACGCAGGCTACTTTATGCCCAATCGATTGTTCTTCGACAACCTGGGCACTATCCTGCTGATGGCCGTGGTCGGTACCATCTTCAACATTGCCACCATCGGTGAGTAAAACGGAAACTTGAGTAGGATTCGGTCATTGTCCTTGGGGGAAATGGAATTGTCCTGTCTATCGTTTAGAGTTTGATGGCTTAATAAACAAGGGTGGAGACATGTTGGAGATGGATGGTTGAAGGAGAGGGTCGCCTCGGGCCAACGACATTCCGTGTAATCCCATCCATCCAAGTCCGTCAGGCTGAAAAACGGCCAATGGAAGTTGTCGTCAATAAAATATATTGTTTGCTTAGGTGGGGCCATTGGTAAATGTAGAGTAAACTTGGCTTAATTTATTAAATGCTATTAACTCTGTATTAGAGTAAAGTAAATAAATATATTGGCAAAAGGATTTTAACAGTTTAGGTTGCCTTTTTCTAAAGAGAAGTTTTTTTTTACAAATAATTTGTGGCAAAACTGTCAGGTGCCAAAATCAATATTTAAACTCCTCTCAAGCGCGAATAGCTTATACTTAAAACAAATAAATATGTAAATAGTACTTGTCAACTAGTTAACAATTACAAAAAAGGTGTTGCTCAATGCCAGTAATTAAATGGAAGCTGAATCACTGGAATTACTTCCATCTCCGTTGTATGTTAACCAAAAGCATTGAAATAATGAGGAGCCATTTGTTGTGTTGGCTAAAAATAAAATAAGACAATCGTTAAGGTTTTTTTTTGTTATGCTACACTCACAAAAAAGCTAAGCTCTTATATAAAAAAATCCTTGGTAAAAGTAAAAATCTTTTTTTATATATTTTTTAACCAATACCAAACTCAGATCCTAAGATTCTCCATTAAAATAGTATTTTTCTTTAAAAAAAAGTCATAAAATCATTTAAAGAAAACCCCATCTTCCGAAACATATTATACATTATACTTGATATACTTTATTGCAAGTGCATATATATAAATTAAACCGGCACGCGAGGGGGCGTGGCAGCATCATCGCCCCCAACTAGATGACCGCTTAGAAGTGATTTACACGAGAGTGTAACAAAGCATGCGATTGATGTGAATGGGGGAAGCTGCCACCGCTAATGTTGATGGGCTCCGATGACAAACAAAAGGGGGAGAGAGTCCGTGGGCAAAATCCGGTTGATGCAGTGGAAAGGGTTCCGGAGGAGACGCCGCCACTTAGATGAATGATCGCGCCACCGCCAAACGCGAAGCGAATCCGGGGGATACACGCTCGAGTTGCCACACTTACCCGCTCCCAGAAGCGAACGAAACAGACTTGGCAATTACTTATGCTTAACAAATTGGATTACATATCACACAATGAAAGCCGACAACGCCGCTCTGTTAACTTATCTCTCGCGATTCATTCGGAAAAGTGGAAATTCCATAGCCATTATTCATTCGTCCGCGTCAGATATTTTATTATTGTTATGTAATAACATAAAAACAAAAGGCCAGGGAGTTGCATAAGCCTTAATTATTTTGAACTGGCTTTTATTGTTGTGAAATTACGTTTTAATTGTTGTCGATTATCATTCATTCTGAGGAAATTTTGAAAAATTAAGTCTTAAAAAATTAAAATAATATTGCGTTGAAGCGAAAACTAAGCTATTAAAATGTAAGCGTAAGGGCACGCACAAAATCTCTTATTGTTTTATCTTCAAACATCATTTTATTGAGGAATTATTCACCAAAGTACATATTTTCTAAAGGCAAAAACTAGGTTATCTCAGTGTACAAATTACCATTCACAAATTGAAACTTTTTGAAGGCTTTTCCCAGGCTTACAATATTTGTTTTTCTGCATCAATTTGTGGAGCCAATTTAAAGAGCCGCCGCACTGGCAATATTATGGCAAACATTCAATTTGCGTTGTGGCAAATTAAATTATTCTGGGAAAGAAGGCGCTTATCAATTGACTTAAGTGACTTGGGGGATGCATTTTGAAAAACAACAAGCCTGGTTGGCGCCTGCCGACTGGCAGCAATGTCAATGCCACATCGATTGGCTGACTGGCAGTGGTATCTAATTAAGTTCAAGTCCAAAGGAGCAGCACTCTGGGAAATTAATGGGTTGGAAAATAAATTACACTGCACTCACTGATTTTCCTGCATTTTAATTTGAAGGTGGCTCCCTTTATGCCTGCGGAATGATGGGAATTTACGGGGAGAGCGAGACTCCCGGCCTGATGGACGTCTTCCTCTTCGCCTCGCTAATATCCGCCGTGGATCCGGTGGCTGTTCTGGCCGTCTTTGAGGAGATACACGTCAACGAGATCCTGTATATTGTCGTCTTTGGCGAATCCCTGCTGAACGACGCCGTTACGGTGAGAGGGCTTTGGGTTTATTGATGAGATTTTGCGGTCGCGGATATTGGTTGTAATATCGAAGCAATTAATGTTTGCCTTTCCCCCCGCCCTTAGGTCGTCATGTACCACATGATGGAGTCCTACAATGAGATTGGCTTGGACAAAATCATCGCCCAGGACATAGCCAGCGGCGTGGGTTCATTTTTTGTGGTTGCTCTGGGTGGCACTGCCATAGGTGAGTGGGTGTTTTAGGTGCTTTTAATTGGATTTTATTTTTACAAAAATTAATTGGAATTTTATTGGAAAAGCTTTATAGAATTTTGAACATTTATGATAGAATATTTGAGATTTTTAGTTTTTAGTTAAACTCTTAAATCTTAATAAAATAATTAGAAAATGTGTCAGAAAATAAAATTTTCAGCATACTTTTGATCAAATAAAATTCTTAAAAAAATAGTAAACACTTTAGACTTATTATATACCCTTATTTATATTAAATTTATAAAATTATTGTATTTCTAGGCATCATCTGGGGCTTCCTCACTGGTCTGGTGACCCGTTTCACCGATCATGTGCGTGTCATAGAACCCATTTTCATATTTGTAATGGCCTATTTGGCCTATCTCAATGCGGAAATCTTTCACATGAGCGGCATTTTGGCGTGAGTATAGAATATTATAAAAATTCATATAAATATTTGATTAATTAATGCTTTTCCCCCCACAAAAAAGCATCACATTCTGTGGTATTACAATGAAAAACTATGTGGAATCAAATATTTCACAAAAGTCGCACACGACTGTTAAATATGCCTTGAAGATGTTGTCGAGTTCAGCGGAAACTATCATATTTATGTTCCTCGGCGTTGCCACTGTCAATAATATGCACGTATGGAATACGTGGTTTGTGGTTCTCACTATTGCCTTCTGTTCAGTGTTTCGTGTGATTGGTAAGTATTTAAAAAATACAATAATAGTTTACCTAATTAATTAAATACTTGTTTAATTTCAGGTGTCATCCTGCTCTCGGCTCTTGCCAATAGATTCCGCCTACACAAGTTATCCCGCGTGGATCAGTTTGTGATGTCTTACGGCGGTCTGCGTGGCGCTGTGGCCTTCGCCTTGGTGCTACTGGTGGATGAGAATGTGGTCAAGCAGAAGAATATGTTTGTGACCACCACAATAGCTGTGATCTACTTTACTGTCTTCCTGCAAGGCATCACCATCAAGCCGCTGGTCAAGATACTCAATGTGAAGCGGGCCAATAAGCGTAAGCCCACTATGAATGAGCGTATTCATGAAAGGGTGAGTCTATCCTCAAACAGGAAAATATAAAATTAAATTAATATATATTTTTTCTATCCAGTTCATGGACCATTTGATGGCTGGCATTGAGGATATTGTGGGCAAGACGGGCAACTATAATGTGCGTGATAAATTCAAGCGTTTCGACAATCGCTTCATTCGCCCGTTGCTGATCAGAGATCTCAAGGTATATTTATGTAGTTTAAGTTTTTAAAAATAATATAGCAACCTAAACTGCCATCCAGGAGGTGAATGAGTTCCATTTACTGGATCGCATTCCCATGCAAAGCTATGAGCGTGATTTGGACAAGAGTAAGAGGTTAAGGGGTTCGCTAGATGGGCAGAATTCAAGAACTGGAATGCAGCGTCGTGATGCAAGCATTTCCAACAGAAAAAAGTCTATCAAGATCTCCTACGAAGAAGATAATATTTAGTAATAAGTTTATATATATATCAAAATTAACATTTTCTTTAAAACTTTTGTTGTATAAAATTTTGTTTAGGGCGCTGAGCCGAAGATCATTGAGACGTACTCCAAACTGACAATGCGCGATGCCATGGAGGTAATGAGACGGAATCCATCGACTATTGGCCAGATGACGGGCACTGAGTCGATGAGCGCCCTGTTCCGGAACTATACCAATAACTATATTGGCGGCAGGTGGGCACCGCCAACCATATACACCACATGGTAAACGAATTTTGGATTGAATATCGATATCGATACACTTGCCTGTACTCACACCGAAATGATCGTATATATATATATTGCATGAGTACGAAATAAATTCGAAATTAAATGTAGTTCAATTTGACGGGAACTGTAGCATGAAACTGCACAAAAGTATAATTTTTAAACAAAAATTGGCCACTAACACTTGACAAACACAACGTAATGAGAGGTGTCACAAAAGTCTGTAGTTAAATAATTTTTAACTCTTACTAAAATATTTATTTTAATTTCTAATATATAAAAAAAATTTGTAAAAACTCTTTGAAACTCTTTTTTAATTTAAAAGAATTTAAAAATATTTCCTTGTAAGTAAAATAAAAGAATTAATATATAATAAATAAAAATAAACTCAGTAAAGCTATTTTTTAGAGGTATTTCTAATATTTAACTAATTTTCCTATAGATTTAAATGTGACACCTCTGTTATTTTATTAACATTATATTTCTGCCTATATCTGAAATTCGTTTAACCACTTTTTTATATTTTTTCTTCAACTAAATATGTACTATCTTATACACTGAAATATTTAAATACTAACACATTCGATTCACCTTTTTAGTCCCAGTCTGACAAATCTAGACAATACTTGTTCACGTAATCTGGACATGGCTGAGCTGGATTACAATCCATCCAAGAAGGATCTGACTGATGCCAAGATCCATCATCTGTTGGCCGAAGAACTGAAGCCTTATAGAAGGGTATGTACTATGGCTTATATATTATCCTATCTTTCTCTTGCAATAATAAAATTTTGGTTGGATATTCTATATAGCAAAAACAGTTTAAACCTTAATTATACCCTCCAAAAACGATTATTCACGCAGCCCAAAAGTCTTTGCCTTTCCCGTTTCTTTTAATTAATATTTGATACTTGTCAAACTGTCACTGAAAGGGTCGTGTTATGCCGAGTTCTACTGTAAAATCACTTTCGAATTATACTTTATGTTCTGTACTTTGGGCATTTAGTTTTCTCACACACTTTCTCAACGCTTCTTGCTCTGAATATTTATGAATATTGATGGCCAAACCGCTCTGACTCTACATATCAATAATATAGATATATGTATATCGATATATTTGTAATTAATCGTTTATTTAATTTCTTTCCCGTTGTTTCGATAACTCAACATCTCTCAACCTCTCGACAACAACGTGTCAATAAAATATAAATCAAAACCGCTTCAAACTTTCGTGTGCTAAAAAAAATATAACAAAATTTCGATCAAATGTCGATAATTTTGAAAAAAAAAATATCGCGATATATAAAGGCTTCAATACAAATGGTACGAATAAATTGGTTCATTGGTTTCTGTTCTAATTAATTTGATCTGTTTCTTGGTTCATTTTGATAAGCTCCTTTCGAATTAACAAATATGAAACCTTTGTTAAATGTTACACGTTGTGTGTCTGTACTACTTACTCTTTGACTGCAAAAAATCTTTTAGTTCAACCTTCTAAATGTGTCTTCTAATTGGTGTCTTGATAATATGTTAATCTTTAAATAATGGTAAACTAATTTATTAAAGAGAACGCAAAGCTTAATTCTGTCCCTTAACCATATATTAATGATGATTAGGGAGGGCTATTAAAAAGTATACTCCTTATATGCAATATATTTAATATAAAAATTATTTTTCTAGTGAGAATTATAAACTTAAAAAAGGCCAAAAATTATTTATATATATTTTTTTATATTCTTTTAAATTTGTTTGGCTATAAAAAACAATATAAAGCTGGGTTCTTCAGAGATATATAAAAGTCCTGATTTAAATATTTAATAAAAAAGTAGAAAATAACAATAAAGAGTTGCCAATTTTTAAAGTAATTTTTGAGTAAATTAATACCATTTTAAAATAAATATTTATTACCTTTAATTAATATTCCTACTACTATTTTTTTGCCAATGCCTCAATGTTTATTGTAAAATTTAATGTAAACACTTACCAATAACACTATTTATAACAAATATATTTTATTCGCAATTAAAACAAGTAAAATTTCATCAAAATACATTTACATTATCCGAATTTTTAAAATTAAAAATACAAAAATATATTTTATTTATTCTAAATTCTTTAAATACAGCACTTTGATATCAAAAAACCACACCAAACACAAAATAAATATCTTGTCTGCCTATATTTGTTGTGTTCACCGTAAAGAAATATAATATTTATGGGATGAAAGAATTTTGAATAGGCTGAGCACTTGATTCAATGTTAATCTCTACTCATAGGATGTACAAATGTTTGGAAGGCCGTTTACACTTACTCAGTTGTTGTTCTTGTGCAAATTAATCGTACTTTATATACTACTCCCTACTATTTGTATCTGTCCTATACTGCAATTAAAGTAACTCCTAAGCTACTTACATCTCTATCTCTATATTTACATCATTGAGCTGGCATTTTATGATTTTTGAAACCTAATTTGCTCCATCCAATGTTTTTACAGCACCGTCGTCTTAGTTATAGCCGACACGCAGTAGATGACAGAGATTTGTCCACACAGGTGAGTAGAGAGCCACAAAACAAAATAAAACACCAACCAACCAGCAATAACTTGCTTCTCCAAATTTGGCTAGAAACTTGTCAAAAAGCTACAATAAAACTACAATAATACTCTTCTCCTCTCTTTTGCAGGTCAATTACAAAATGCAAATGAATTTCCGGCGCATGTTCAATGATCGCAAGCATCACAAGCGCAGCAAACGTGGGGCCAGCAATAAGGTGAGGCATCTCGTGCATAAATATGTATCCCAAGAATCCTATTTTAATGGATATCCTTAACGTTATCCTTAGGAGGCCAAGGAGAATGTCAAGCAGAATCATGTCTCGTTCCATGATTTCCAACAGAACGGCACCACCAAGCAGCTCACCAATGGTACGGGTTCGAGTTCAAACCATTCACGAAAAAAATCTTACAGAAAAAGACATACTCACAATTCACTTAACAAATATCGTAGATTAGAAATAGGTAAATGACGCTAAAAACAGCAATTAAATCTTTAATCAAAAATTGAAAAGACAACAAAACCATGTCGTAGAAAATCTCTCAATTCGAATTGTTTGTAGCTTTCTATTTTATTTTATTATCCTTTGTCCAGACAGCTTAAATATTTTTTAAAAAAATATTTATAACAATCCGCTGTCTTTACGATTCTTAAGTAGTGACTTTTAGTTTTTTAAAAGTAGTTTCATGCGTCATACTAACCTAACTCATCACCCAAACTTTATTATTTAGTTGCCATGTAAAGTACTCTACTAAAAACCTTTTTATATTAGTTTCTAAATTATCAGGGGTGTCTTAGAAAATAACAAGATTTTTGAAATCAAATTAAACAAATATTTTTAAGCCTCACTTAATTTCTAAGGCACCCCTGTTTATTAAGTGTATGCTGGAGAAGTTTTCCAGGTGTAAAATTGACACCTTGCAAACTTCTTCAAAAATCATTCCTCAAAATTAAGTTAATAACCGGAAAAATGATTGGACAAATTTGTATTTAATTGGTAACTAATTTGTTTTCTACCAAAACCTTCTCTTTTTCTTCCCCGCATCGCTCACCCATCCAAATGATGGCAAATTTAAAAAACCTACACAAAAAAAAAACATGCAAAAACCCTTACACACACACACACACTATTGGCGAAAAAACTCAACCAAAATTTGTGCACTAAACCAAAAAAATAATAATAACAATAACACCGACATTCACCATAATCTACTGCCTGCAAACATTGTTTTTATAATTGCTAAAATTAACCCAACTTTAACTGCAAATAGACTATATTAACAATGTGCTTAATGAAACAGCCGACGATTGCCAACAGAATCCCAACGAGATCAATGTTGTTGGCCCCAGCGACGATTGGGATGATGGCCTGACCTTCACCGCCAAATCATCACGTAAGTGTTCTCATTACTCTCCCTCAGCCCCCATGCGTGTGTATTTGTTAACACTTTTTATTTTTTGTAACTAACATTTGAGTTTTGTGAGAGGTTGTCTACATTGAGCATAGGCAGCCCTTTTAGGTGGTTTTTGGTTTCCTCTTTTTTAAAACACAAATTTCTAGTTTATTGTAAAATTTCTTTAATAATGGTGTCTAAAAGTATGCTTTAAATAAATGAAGCACCCTTTTTGGCGCTTTTTTAGAGATTTTAAATCTCTAGAAATTATCTGTGCAAGTCTCCTCTTTTATTCAACTTGTTATCAGATCAGTCATATGGCAATATCTGATATATATATTCTCCATCGCCCACCACCAAAAAACTTGTTCGACTTATTTGTTTTGTTCAGTACACACAAAAATGCCATCATTTTATATATAACTTTTCTTTGCCAAAAAGAAATGAAAGCAATCTTCAAAAGGTTTTACAAGTATCTGTACATATCATATATATATATATATCGACTAGTTGAGTAGACTGAACAAGGTTTTTGTAGTAGGTAAATATTATAAATATAATAAATAAGACACAAAGAAAGCTTTGCTAGTCCTTTTCAGTTGATTTTTCTTAACCACTGTTAACCTTCTGTTTTTTATTGTATTTCTGCATTTATTTTTTTAACCTAAACTCTTAAGGAGAACCTAAATAAAAGCTATAACAACGAACTTTCTATATATATTTTTTCTTGTTTTATGCCTTCCCAATTATTTCGAAAAAAAAAACATCACTAAAAAATATCAAAAACACAAACCAATAAAATGTTGCTGGGCGCAAACGAATGAAAAAATATACGAAAAAAAATACCAATTACGATTAGCTGACTCGGATCGCGCCAATAACAATTCCCTGATAGCCCACATCCAAAACCTGCCCGGCTTCGATGCCTCCAAGGCGCGCATCGTCGTCCAGCACTATGCGCCGCGGGTCGACGACAGTCCGGAACCAGAGTTAGACTCGCCGGATCAGGCCGTCGGGCCCACGGCCGCCGAGCTGATATTGCCATGGCGGCGGGATCGTTCATACCAGAGCATTGGTAAAGGAATCTCACACAAAACAGATCCACATCAGAATCACCAGCTCAGATCATGTTTCACAAGAAATCAGCAACATTTACAACATTTCAAAAACAGTTTTTGGATAGAAAGCTTCACGCACTTCTCACTCATTTATATACTATACTTAGAGTCATGAAACATTTCAAAATTCTGCTTAAAACAATGTAGGGAAACTGTCTAAATAATTTATTTAAAAGAAATAAGGGATTAATTTACATATTTAAACAATTTTTTATCATTTTTGAAGTCTAATGATATTTAAAATCCTGTGAGTTGTCTTAACTTAAGATCAAATCAATAAGGACTTACAAAGGAATCGCTTTAAAATCATTAAAAGCGTTGCTTAAAAGTATGCTGTACATTTTTATAGATTAAAAAATAGCAAACTTTAGAAGAAATTTGGGATATTTATGTATATTTAAAGCCTGTGATAATCACAGAATACTTTTAGGTTCTGTTCAAAGTGCTTATGTATATTTTTAGCACTCCTAAAGTCTAGTCTAGTGCTAATTGAGCTTCTCAATGATAGAACCCCCACTTTAATAACCATTTGTGATATACCCAATTTCGCCCACAATTACACCTCTCGCTCCATTTACCAATCATTACGTGTACTTTGACCTCATAAAAAGACAGTCATTAACTCGTTTATAGAGTGCCTTAAGCTTAGTTGAATATCAATCGTATTTTGTGCTCAGCACTTTGCGCGATTACCTCGTTTCTTCCGTTCCGTTCTGAGTTAATCCATTTGAGTTAATCATTTAGTGCCTAATACTATTATTTTCCTTAACTCGATTGAATCCGATACACCTATTTAGCCATGCTAAGTGTTGCCTAGACGTAGCTGCCCATCTAATTACCAATAGTTGTCATTGCCATTGTGTTCGTGCGTCGTCGTTTAACGTCAAATTGCTCGTAGAAGGCAATCGCCATTGATTGGTAGTCGCTAGTCTCAAGTCCACCACGAATGCAGTTGCCAAGTTACTTATTGCCAAAAAACAAAGCTCGAAATTACCTGCATTTTAGAACCATCAACTTACCTAAAACCAATTTGAAAAGTCGTCACATTTTAAAACAAAAATTTCGATATTACTAAACTGTAAAAAAAAACGAATACAAACGTCGAAAAAAAGCATGGCATTTTTGTGCATGACCAAATTTTTTCTTGCTTTAATTTTGTGAATTTTTATTTACCTTTACGTTTTTTGTCCCCTTAAAATCGAATAAATAAGCAAGAAATTAAATAATATTTAAGGGAGAACATAAATAAATGGGTGGAAGTCGATTCTGGAGTTTTATAAAATTTTATTTTGTTATATTTTTTGTCGTTCTTCAAAAATATATATATAATATTTATATTAAATTATAAAAGCAGGTTTTATAGAATCAAAATATGTTGAAAAAGCTTTTTTTCTACACAGATTTCGATTATAACATATTTTAACTCAAGATTATTTAGATTTAATAAACTTAGGTACTAGGTAATAATAATAAAAATTATAATAATGAATAGCATTAATGTTTAATATAATCGGGAGTCGCACAGAAATCACTAGTTTTTTTAATGCCCTTAAAATAATGTAATAAATTATTTGAGGCAAAAACTTATAATTTTAAAAGTCTTAGTGATTTCTGTATTTGTATGATGATGATCTTGGACTCCTTTACTGGTTAAAAAAACACTAGGTTTTTATTTCTTATTTTCCTTTTCCTATGTCTTTCCAATTTTCCTTGAGTTGTGCGCACTTTGTTTGTCTATTTGCCCTTTTTGACTGTGTTCTTTCTCCATCAACTGCGTTTTTCTGTTTCCAATTTGTTGACAATATTCCCCAAATTTGGCCAACACAAATAAAAATCCTCCCCCAAAAGCAACAGCTTTAAGCGAGTGCCAGTGCCAGAGCTGCATGCAAAAGCCTTTAGAATGATTTTTCCCAAAAACAAATTTCTCCAACATTTCGATGGTTATTTGAATTTTCCTATAATTTTTCATTTGCTATCTAGTGGCGGAGCATCCCATACCCGAGGAGGATCGCAATTTGTCCCGCGAATCCGATGGCGAGAGACGCGTGGCCACGCCCACGGCCACGGAATCCCAATTGCCGTGGAAGCGGCAGGGCGACGAGTGTACGGATGCAGTGCAGCAGAACGAGTTCCCGGCCTGGGCCTCCAACAAGGAGTACTTGGCCTACAACTCGCCCAGTGCAACATTCCTAGGTAATGTATACATTCAATTACATTTCGAGCTAGGTTTTTCAGGCAGGAGTATTTAGAAGGGGGATTGGGAAAGAGGGAGTTGTTTTTCCTTCTACAAACACACAATAACAATTTCCGGCTGGTTATTGAGGGACTTGGGGCGCTCTCTCTTCTATGATTGTTCCTACCCATATTGAATATTCATGTCCTCAGTTGATTACTGTTGATTACCGGGTGGCTGCACAGAGAGAAAACATGAGAAAAATAGGGGTTTCTATAATAAGTTTTCTAAATAAATAAAATTATAATACAGTTTTTTTAAATGATAATATTCGTATAAAATAACTTTAGGAAGAGCTGAAATTAAGCCTTTTAATTCAGGGCTAAAACTAGGGAAATATATTGAGACGAAAAGTCCGAAATATCGAAAAATATATCGAATTAAATATCACAATATTAATTTGAAAAAAAAAATAGTAGTTTGTTATTTGTATTTTATATTTTCGAAATAATTAAAATTGTAAAATTATCGCACAAAAATCGCGGAGCAAACAGCCCGGTTTATATCAAAATATCGATTTTTCCGATAATCTCTAGTCAAACATAATTTATAAAAATGCTTTCTAAAATCTAGCTCTTTCTATCTTATAAAATTTGCATTTTTCTATAATTTAAATCAAGTTTTTCTCTGTGTAGCCTTAGTTTTGTATATATCGATCCGTCAGTATATATCCGTATCAGTGTATATATGGTTTACTCGTTTCCATTAAAAGCACTAAAGCGAAACAAAAATTTTAACACCAAACCGATGGCAAAAATTGCACCCCATTTCTATATTGTGTGTGTTTTTTGTGATTTCTTCTACGTTGATTTCGTTGTGATTTTTCCTTAACTTTTTTCCTTTTTCTTTCTCTTCTCCCCCGCATTGTTTTCCTTCGGTAACTGTTGCCCACACCACAACCACAACCACAAATCGACACCACTGTAAACGAACACCCTGTAAAAAAAAACACTTCAACTTCAACGACGAATCCAAATCCAAAAAATAAAGGTGGTATAAATAAGCCTAAACAGCCCAAGTCCGTCATAGGTCTCTTCCGGCGAGAGAGTTCCAGCTCCAAGGCCGGCAGCGTAGGCATCGGCAGTTCGGGAACCGTGGATGCCGGCAGCTCGGATGCCATGGTTGTGCCTCTGTCCACCGGACAACCGTCCGTTGTCCCATCGACTTCCTCCATGCACAATCCGCGTCTGGACAAGCGCTCCCAGTCAATTTCGTCGGGTTCGCTTGGCGCCGGACCCGGGGCCGGAGCTGGCAGCCACCAACTTGGTCCCGATGGCCACTCGGGACCGTTTCCGGTCACGGCCAGTCATCGTAGGAATGTGCGCAGGGGCTCCATGCTGGAGCTAAGCGGGTAAGCTTCTCTTTTTCCACCTGGTCAGACACCAATGAAAAAAAACTACACCTAATTGTCTGTGTCCATTGATTTTGTGCCCGGTATTCATCTAGTGTTTGGGGTTTTTTTATTTGTAACTGAAATGGGTCTTCAGCGAGGGTTTTTGTGAAATAATTTAATTAAATTTCAGATACCATTATTATTATTAAAAATATTAAAACATTTATAATATATTCAAAAAATGTATTATATACATAAAAACATAATAATATATTTTATATATTATTTAGACATTTTAGTTTTTAATAAAAATAATCAGTAAATGTCATGAAATGTAAATAAGCCACTTTTTTAACCTTCCTTTTCCATTAATGTTTAATAAATACCATTTTATAATCAGGATGAAATACTTAAACCCTATCTTTAAACCCATTTCAGTTCAAAATCACTTCCATTACATGCTTGTAAATATTAACAATAATTTACAATAGTAAAAAAACATAATAATACCGTTTTCTGTTTATGTTTTAATTTTTAACTCATTAGCTAAAACTAATTTTTTGTTTAGCGCCTCGTAGAATTATTAGAAAGTAGTTCAGAACACCATACAATAAATTGAAATGCCCTTGAAATAAATATTAAGTTATTTCAAACCAAAATTAGGTCTCTTTATATATTCATACATATATATTTATATATATTCTTTTTTTTGCATGAAACGCTTCAATGCAATTTACTATAATTTAGCTTAGGAGGTTTTCCAACAGTGTGATCTGGCTTTAAAATTCTCAGACGTCGAAAGAACAAACTTGTTTCCTCTATGGACTTTTCTTGACTTGCTTTAAATGAGATAAAAGACTTCCTTCCCTTTTGATGTGTACCATTATAACTTCCTTATCCTTCAAGCCCAAAACTTTTCCAAAAGAATTTTGGTTCTCAAAGTTTCCCGCTTTAATGTTGCTAATATCCACTTGAATCGTCTTTTGTTGCACCCTTTTCCGCCAAGTGAAACCTTGCTTAAATTTGCTTACAAATTGCTAAAGATTTTAAGTTAAATTAAAAACGACCATAAGTGTGCTTCAAAATATCACATTTTATTTGGCCTTCTTATATATGCTTTGTGGGTTTTTGCTGTCGTTTGAGCTTCTTCCGTCTGTGTCTTTTATTGTGATGATTATTTTACAGACTCATTGCAACTGGACGCAGGCCCAGTAGAATTTTGCAATTTAGTCCGGGAGCCACTAATTTACTAGAGTCAGCCAAGATCACAACTCCTTCTCCTCCACATCCTTCTACTTCTACTTCAACAACAACAACAACTACTACAGTAAAGACAGCCACCAAGAACAACAAGAACACCACCAACAACTCAACAGATACCACATCGGGCAGTGCGACTAACTCGACGCCCGCATCCCCAAGATCGGAGGATAGCGCCACCATCCAGTACTATCCAAAGTAAAAATCGAAAAAATGTCTTGAGTGCAATCCAAACCGGCCATTATATCGAATTTCGAACTCTGATAACTAAGAGACACTGCTAAACTAACACATATACTAGCGTACATATATTTACTCTGAATACTAACCACACGATCTTTATATATATATATAGTACATATATTGTATATAAAGCCACAGATCAGAGCATATCATTGTAGAGTAACGATCAGTATCAGTCCTTGTAGGTTTGAAAACTTTGCTAGCGATCTCCTTCTTCCTCATCTCAGCTGAAATTGGTATTTATCTCTCTTTAAACCTAATCGATTTCCGTGAAATTCTCTTGCAATTGGATTCAAGCTTCATTCGCACTCACTTAAATCACTGAGATTCGAACTGGCCTCCCACAAATTTTCACTGTATATATCTTTCAAATTAGGATGTTGTTTGATTGGTGATCTATTCAGTGCCAGGAACTCGCTACTATCATTCAAAAAGTTTAAAATTATGCTGGGCTGCTGAAAATGTTTCAGTTTTTGTTGCAATTTTATTCGTTTTGCATGTTTTTTAGGTATAAACGTTGTATAACAGTATTTGTATAACATTGTATAATTCGTGTATAACAGTTTTAAAATGCTAAAAACCCTTATGGAACAATTTTTTACCAAATTACGAGTCTTATGTTATATAACTGTTATACCACTGTTATATAATTCGTATTTAAACCCAAATCCATGTCTTACATCAATTTTATGTTTTGGATTGTCCTATATGTGCGTCTGTATATCTATGTAACCATTTTTTCTGCAATATTTCCATCCCTAAGAAATATTTAACCCAACCTGAAGCTAATGCAATGCAATTTCTAAAAACAATTAACAATAACCAACAAAAAAATTTACCTGCCGTGCTGTGTTTCTTTGTTTTGTGATTATATTCCCAATCAAATTCCAAAAAAGGAAAATAACAACCAAACCAAGGTCTAACTAATAACTGAATTTTGACTATTAATTGACCAGATTGATTCATTGGCAAACTATTTGACGAAAAATTATATATACTTTTAGCGGCGTCTCAATTGAATCTGATTAGCCAAATACCGAAACCGAAAACGAGCACAGAACCAGAGCACTTATTTAGCTAAGCAAAACACCCACTAAATGCACAAAAAAAACACACACAAAGTACACTCGCACACCACGCACACGCACACGCAAACTGTTATACAGTTAAGCACCTGTGATAACTTCCTTAGACACAAATTTCTATGTGTATCTTTAAATGGCTTTAAACACAAGAACTCCATATATGTGTAAGTATCAATCAGACAAAAAGTATCCTTTCAAAACGTGTGTGCCTGGGGTAGGCACAACTAACCATTGAATCAAGGATAATATAATAAGTAACGTGTATAACGTCATACGAATTTCTAGGACCTGGCCCAAGGCTCTTTTAAAATTGTGTTGAAAAGCAAGACTGGCGTTATCCATCTTATTTATTTATATTGTCTTTAACCGAACTCACACCTTTAAAACACTAATCTCCTGTGCTAATTGCTATTTATTATCTCTTGATTGTTTACTTTAAATAATGAAAATCCCAAGAGCGGACAACAAAGAAATTGTATTGTATTTAGGAAACAACAGAATTGTAGATAATGTAGAACTGTTATATATAAACTGTGCCTTAAACTCGTCTTCCCCTTTTATACGCTTACCCGTAAACTATTTATCCTCCATGTTTTTGCTCCATTTTAATTTGCCTATCGTAGTGCTTTAAAATAAATGTGATTCTTAAAATGTGCTTCGATTTACTATTTAACTTTACTTTTTCATAAATTAAGACCTAGCCGTAATTAGCCGTAGTCTCATGCTAACCATTAACCCTAATCTAGTCCCAGAACCCAACCGAATCATTAGCCAAAATTGATCGCAACTTTTGACATTAACTTTCTACGCCTTCTCTTCACATCATATTCCCTCCACCTTCAAACCACCGAACCACACTCCACACACAACATCAACAACATCGACACCGCCACGACCACCACCCACAGAGACACAATACCCGAGGAGTCGTCGTACCAGCACGGGCACTCCAAGTCCCTCTGCGAGCCGACGGACACGGACGACTGGGAGGGAGCACCCCTGTCCGTCGCCGCAGCCGGCGGTGCGGCCAACAGCGAGCGATTGATCCATAGTGGCCGAGAGCCGCTCCTGCCGCGTCCCTCCAATACGCCGCGTGCCCAGATCCGACGCATGAACGCCGGAGCGGTGGGCGGAGCAGCAGTGAGTTTGGCCGGAAGAAAGAATCAGGTGACCAAGGCGCTGTTGGATTACGAGGATTCTGAAACGGATTCGGAGGAGAACGACGATGACGATGACGAGGATGAGGACTTTGATTCATATGATGACGAGAACATTGTGGTCACCACCTTTACCACTCCAGCACCGAGCAGGAGGCCGGGCTCTAGTCCGGGATCGGAAGCAACCACCACCACGACTAGCATTCGGCTGACCCGCAACAACGACGAGAGCATCATTTGAGTATCGAGTACGGATGGCGACGTGGAAGAGGACGCCCTGGAGGAGCAAGAGGAGCCACCAAGGCCATCGACACGTTCGCGTCGAAGCCTGTTCCCCTACGAGATGTTCTACTAGCCCCCGGACACACATTTATATGATTAGTTAGTAAGCCCAAAGTTGACACACAAAAAGAAAGAGTTGCTAAATAGTTTACCAAGAAAAAAAGAGAAATGGTTTTAAAGAAAGCTTTATAATTAATTAATTAATTAATTAAAACCAAACCGGAAGAGTCAAAAAGCAGCTTAGTTTAGGCGGAAAATAGCGTGAAAATTGTATATAAAACCAAATATTATTGAAACACTAATTAATTTTTTTTCTTGAGTCGCTTTTAAACCTTTAACTTCCAGTTTTGTGTTTAGTATTTAGTCGCAAACAATTGTTAGTTATTCTTATGTACTACGTATATATATGCACTTGAATTATATATATAAAACGATTTAGTGATTACAGCTGATGTGTTCCAAAAAATATATAGCAAGCAAGTAAATTAATGAATTAACAAAAAGCATAGCCAAAGTTCATATTAAGCCAACGCACTAAAGTTGATTTCGTTGTTTGTTTTAGTTTAGGCCAAAAGTGTACTAAAATTTAGATCGCATTTTGACAATGTGTTGCTAAAAACAGTACTTACCAAGCGTACTTAGTTTGATAAAATAGTTAAAAGCGCAGAGTTTAGTTCAATTTTAGCTTTAGTTCATAAATTAGGATGCCCAACTTCAGATAACTATTAAAAGCAGGCTCAAAGGGGTCCCTGTCTCAAAGTAATTATTTTCTAAATAGCCGAAGAGTCAAAACTAAAATGAAAGTTTTTCCCAACTGAAACTGTGGCTAAAAAGTTAGCATTCATTGTCGTAGAAATAAACTTTAAATGCATTTGTAAAACATTATAATATATATATATTTTTTTTTTTGTATTTAGAACAGTCACAGTTGAGGAAAACTTTCGCTGTGGAAAACCTTAAAATGTATACACAAACTAAAAGTAACTAAAAGCGAAGAAGGTAAATGAACAGAGTTATGTAATTTATAAATTATTTTTGTAAACATTTACGAACGATAAATAATATAAAATGTAACTTAACTGAAGGTGGAAATGTCAGACGGAGCGAGTGTGAGAGTGCATGACTAGGATTGAGCTAAACCAAAGCATAAAAGTAAAGATTAATATGCTCAAAACTAAAGAAAACCAAAGTAAAGTAAACACAAGATATAGATATAAATGCTGATGTAGATCTAAAGGCGCATTAGAAAACACGAAGCCAACTGGGAACACACACACACAGTAGCCAATAAAACCGGAAGAGCAAATAGTTTCTGGGATTCCTACCTACCTAAACAAAATATTTGCGGGGACAAACAACTAAAGAAAATCGTGGAAATACCTACCTACTACGATATATACAGTATATTTGTATTTTCTAAATATAATTTAACCATTCTAAACCTATGTCTTAAGTAGTTTATGTTCTATCCAAGAAATTGCCTTCTGAATATGCAAACCACAGAGATCAGTTCGAATTGGAACGCAGAAAATCCAAACCCCTTGGTTTCGTCTACTTATTTCGATCCGAAAGACAATAAACAGCTTCAGGAGACGCCACAACAAGCTCTTGGAAATTGTCATTTCAATAAAATCTAGAAAATCTAGAAAACTTTAAAAGGAAATATAAATCAGAGCTGTGTTACCATTATATGAGCAGTAGGTTCTCCCATATTAAATTGAATTATTCGCAATCTGTATTACACAAAAATTAAGCTGATTTCACAAAAACGGATTGTGGCCTAAACAATTTAAGTATTGGACAACGCTGTGGCTCATAAATAACTTACTTGCTTAGGTCCATAAAGAAACTAAAATTGAATTCAATTGATAAAACTAAATCGAACAAAAGTGTTTGCAATTTTCATACCGTAGGCCTTAAGTTGTGCATACTTCAAAAAATTGAATACAACAAATATTGATAGCGCAAAATAAAATTAAAACTAAAAACACAAGAGCTAAAAACAACACAAAAGAAAAACCCAAAAAGAAAGAAATTGTAAATTGTTAAACTGATTTTAAATATTAAATAAGAAAAAATTTTACTAAAAATACAAAATAAAAGGAAAAAAACGAAATAATTTAAAACTAGAGATTTTAGTAATTTGTGGTTGATTTTGGGGATCCAACACGTCTCTTCACCAGCAACAGGATATGTGTCGTTTCTTGGGCAACTGCCAGTCTGCCAGGACGCTCCTGCCCACCAAGCGATTGTCCTCATCCTGGAGCATGGACTGCGCCATCTGCTCGGTGCACTCGAAACGAAAATAGGCACAGCCCATCAACTGGCCATCGCTCCGCTTGCCTATGTGCACCGCCTGGATGGTGCCTTGGAGCTTTTCCTCGCCCGGCTCCTCCTGGTATCCCCGCCACTGGTGCCACAATCTTTGGATTCTATTGGCTTTTCTTTCGCTTAAATTTGGATGGGGATCTTGAGGAAACCTCTGGATTGTATTGGCATTTGGATTGGAATCTTGATCTTGCTGATGCTTGATTTCTAGGGACGGAATTTGTTGGGGAATCATATAGTAGGTATCAAGGGAAAATAAAAAGGGAAACTAACATCGGAAAGCCGAAATTTGTACAACAAATGTTCGATACATGTTATAACTTGGCTGTTTTTCAAAAATTTTGCATCATTTTTAGGATATATATTATTCCAGAATTTTGGTAAAAATTTTATGAAAATTGGACGACTATATCTTATAGCTGCCATAGGAACGATCGGAAAATGAATAGGAAAAAAATTATAACTTCGTTGTTTTTCAACATATTCTTATCTACTTTGAGATATAAGCTTTTTTATTATTTCAGAATTTTTGTAAAAATTTTATTAAAATCGGACAACTATGTATATCATACAGCTGCCGTATAAACGATCGGTAAATGTAGAGAAAATGTAAAGCTGGGAATGTAAAACTGTAACGGTCAAACTGTAAACATAATAAGTATAGGTAAAATATAATGAAACTCTGTTTTGTGAGTGTTTTCAGCATTTAAATTTATAATATAAACATCAAAACCAATCTGCAAGGGTATACAAACTTCGGCATGCCGAAGTTAGCTTCCTTTCTTGTTAATTTTAAAATAATCAAGAAGTTTTTTAATATAAAAAATCAGATTTTATAATACAAAATAATATTTTTCTAAGTGAAGGAACAGGGGAATCTTTCTAGATATGTCCGGAAGAAATCGAAGCAAAAAGAAGCAAAAATGGCCAAAAAATTTGATTTCTTAAAATTTTAAATTTGGTATGCAGTTTTTTTAAATTAATAAAAACTATCACAAAACTGTTTTCCGAATCAAAATTTATGCATTTTTGGCTTAGTTATGATATATTTTAATTGTTACCTGCAAGGGTATACAAACTTTGGCTGGCCAAAGTTAGCTTTCTTTCTTGTTTTTTTTAAGAGTTAAATAAATCTGCATACTGAATGAAAACTTTAAAAAGTCTACATTTTTGTTCATTTTTTAAAATTAAATTAAAAAAAAATTGCTTGTGGGAAAGGCTGGAAAGATTCGCCTTTTAATGCTGATTAAGAAAACATATTTATAGCGTCGGAAATGGCTTCTTTACTACTTCGTATGATATCGAAAATATCGTAAACTTTGATATATAGGATTTTTAAATATCTAAAGATATTAGAGAAATCTAATTTAATTTATTTTTCTTTTCAGCAAAAAGATATTTAATTTTTGTGCGCCTTTTTCCGACATATTGCACAAATATATCGTTATATATCGATTTTAAATCGACACTTTTTCAATATATTCATATTTTCTACCTTCCCTAATAAATAGTAAGTAAATATAGACACTTTTTTGTTTGAAGTTCAGTTTATACATTTATTGCACCAAATATGTGTAATTTGTTTATTTTTCATAATTTATTCTTTATTTTATTTACTTGTTCTTCTAATTATGGTTTGAAACTGATATATTTCAATATGCTTTAAGTTATTTTGTTAGTTTTTTTTTTGTTTTGTTAAAGAATTCACTTTGTTTCCTCGCCGAAGATGTGTCTTCCTTGTATATATAAGTAAATATATATTCATATATATATATATCGATGGTCACCATTTCGCGTTTAAAGTGAGTCTCTCTCAGTGTGTAAGGTGTGTGTTTGTGAGTGTGTGCTAATGCATTTGGGGTTTGGTTTCTCCTGGTAATTGTTCTTAAGCTTGGTTTTACATTAATTAACTTTCGTAACGATTAAACAAATACGCTTATATATGAGCGAGCATTATATGTAGGTGTATAATGTATGTGACTTTCGCTTTTCCTTTTCATCTAAAGAAATCGGTAGTACCTGCTCTACAAATATGCATGTATATAGTACTATATGTGGTATATGCTTAGTTTTTGTGGCTCATTAGTACATATATATGATAGAATCAATAATCAACCCAACATTAGCTACATAAATATGTGTGTTTTGTTAATGCTTTTAGAATTTCTCCGCTAAATAACGTTTTTTTTTTTTTGTTCGTTTTTTTTACTTTGGTTTCGTTTATAATAGAGCTATAGACGCATAAATAGTTGTGGTATGCAATAACAAGTTACGATTAAGTTAATCCATGTGGTAAGGTGATCGTTTTGGTTATTAGTTTTTAGTTGATAGGTTGTTTTTTGGTTTTGGTTGAAAGGCATTCGACAGTGTGTACGAAATAGCGTATAGAATATATATAATATGTGTGTGATTTTGTAACTAGCTTTAAACAGATTCGAACAGCATAACGTTGTCCCTATATCATATAATAAGTGACTATATCTTGGCTGTCTCTCTGTTTCAATCGAGCGCGCTTTATTTGTTTTTTGTACATACTCCTTATTTTTACAGATTCAGCTTGAAACTAGCGGCAAACAAGTTCTATATTCCTCAGTTATAAAGACACAATAGACATTAAATAAATACAATTATGGCAGTTGAGATAAGCGCTTAAATTAGACAGTAATCCGTAAAATCAATTAAATCAAGTCAAGTATTTAAGCCCATTAATATTATCAATACTGGTTGCCCCTCCTCCTTTCTCTCTCTCTCGAGTTTATACCTAATGTCCTCATAGTTTTCACACTAAGATATATGTATGTACGAGAATGGTCATCATATGCTTAATATTTAGTTAACAATAATTCATTTTCCTTGCCACTTGAAGTATATATACAGAGTTGCTATATTCGGATATTATTGGAAAACACAGAAAACCATCGTTATAGTTTTTTTCGATATATATGCGGCGTATTTTGGGGGAAAAAAACTGCTGAATATTTCGATTAACACATCTATTAGTACAACGAAATTGAAAATTGTCCTTTGATATCCTTATGTTGCTTGTATTTTTTTTTGTTTGAAATTTTCTTCAATATGCTGAGATTACTTTGTTTGTAAGCCCTTTAAAAATGTGACTCGGTTGTTTCGTTTGAACATGAGAGCAATGTTTGATTCTGTGAATGATCTCCGAGATCTCCTTACTAATTCTATTTAACAATTTTAAGGTATGTTCGAGCGAGAGCAAGTGGAAAACATTATACTGTCAGCCATTCAGCCACTAATTCCTTTGGTAGTTTTACGAATGATATATGAAGGATGCTGCCGATGCAGATGCTGATCTTAAGAGTTAACCCGATGCCCCGGGGGAGAATCGTTCGTGTAGATTTGTTTATATTAATATTCTTTAGATTTTTGTGTGTGCGAGCGGTGCCGCTTAGAGGCCAAAGCCGATGACTCGTTATACGTTTCCTGTTTAGAAAAGTAATTGAAATCGGTACAGCATTTAATTGGTTTATCTTTATATATACAAAAAAAATACGGGATATATAAATGTATAGACAGGCTAAATAAATACACAAAATTATTTAAAACTAGAGGGAGATTGGCTAAGCGAACACAAAAAATATATAAAGGTTACAGAAGCAAATAAACTTACAAATAAATCCCTTTTAAAAACTAAATAATCACACAATTAACAAGTAGATACACACATCTTGGAAGTATTGCAACAAAAATTCACACTAAACATAAGAGGGTATATCTTGGATAGCGACAAGGCATGGCTTATTCGAATAGCAAAAATCATAAAGATAATGATAGTAAATAGTAATGATAATCATTGCAATAATAATAATAATAATAATAATAATAGTGGTAATAATAATTGTGTTATATAGGGAATGTCTAGATTTAGAGAGCTTGGCTGATAGAGAGCTGGAACTGCAGTCATGGAGATTCACTGCTTGATGGTGCCATTAGGTTTCGCTGGCTTACCGGACGTCACAAACGGTCCCACATAGTTGCTGGGAAACAGGCCGGACAGGCCATTCAGCTCGCCGCGCCACCACTCCGGCTCGTCCCGACCCAGCACGCTGATGATGTCGTCCTTGTCGAACGATAGCTCGTCGTCGTTTTGTGCTTTGTACGGATAGAGGGCAATGACCTTGTCTGGAAGAGGAGTAGAAAATGTTTAAATGTTGAAATTTGTTAACAAATTTGTTAATAAATATGATAATGAATAGAGTATTCAGCGAATTTGTTCTCAAACGAACCTAGAAAATCATAAAAATAATTTGTATAAAAATACGCACCCAAGATCTGCTCGGTCATCTCGATGCGACTGCCCGAGACGGGCGTGTTGCGTCCACTGTTGCGGCCACCCTGCAGCACCTTGACGTAGGTGGCCGGGAACCAACCAATCTGGCGCCTTCGGCCCTTGGCCTGCAGCTCACCCTCCCACCAGCCGGAATCCGTCTTCTTGCGGATCATGATTAGCTGGCCACGTGTCAGCGAAAGCTGCTCAGTGCTGGTGGCCTCGTAAGGAGCAATCACCTGGGCAATCTCCGAACGCTTAGCCCGCATGCCCTGCAAGGTTATCACAAAAGAAGAGGAGAAAGAGAAGGGATCAATTGGATGATACAGCATGAAAGGAGGATCAACAGGTTGTGTCAACAACTATTTACGGGTGTCATGGAAGAGGTGCGTGACATGGGTCGGCTGT